TCACACGGAGCTCCCTACGTGGAGGGGCCTGTGAGGAGGTTTTGCAGAGCTGTCGTAGCCCCTAGGGCCTATGAGCTCCTCGAAGGCCTTAGAAAATGTTTGAGAACGGGGGGGGGGGGGGGGGAGGCTAAAATAAGGAAAGGAAACTGGAAAAATTGAAGTTAATAAATATTTAATGAAATATCTGCAGAATCTAGTCAATTGCAACAGGACTCTTACATAATTACCTATAAATAAAGTTTAAGTCACAAGATCAAAATGAATTATTCTTAGAAAAACTGCACATCATCAAAAACGCTTTTAAAATTTTTTACAGCAAAATGCAATTATTTAAATGTGGGAATTGGGTGCGCTTTAATGCGTGTAATATGATAAGTGGGTAAGCCTCGGAAACTTCCAGTGTGGTAAAAAGTGAATAAAGCAAAACACACACACACACACACACACACACACACACACACACACACACAAAGCAGGAAATGATAAGGACGGTTGGTGGAATTCAGAGAAGGCTCCAGGAGGCAGCTAGCTCAGTGCAGAGTCCTTCCTGGGGAAGTCGGAATCAGGTCCTATGTCTGTGTCCTTTGTCCTATAGAGTGCATCTGGTCCCCCACCCCCACCAGCCTGCTGGGGTAAGCTGCCCCTTGTCCAGGTGTCTTGTGACTTGGCTCCACGAAGAGGTCTGCCCTTCATGCGGTCTGCACATGGAGTACAAGTGAACTCTACAAAATACGGGAATGATATTCCTCTTCTGAATCTTTAAGTGTGTTCCGAGAGGACCAAAGACTCCATCTGTAATCTATCTCAGCTTTGTCAGCTGCTGGGCATTTCCCCGTGCAGTGTTCCATGCCTAGATCATCCATCCACACACAGCCCTGTTAGCCATCAACTCCGTGGTTTCTCACAATCTGAAAACAAACTTAGTGGATCATCAGAAGGAGAGGGCAGGAAACTCATCAGAATTAAATATCACAAAGATGTTAGTTTTAATGAGAAATCAATCATAAAGAGAATGTCCCCAAATGTATGTCTAGTCCTGGTGACTCTCCCAACACCTGGGCCCCATGTTTTTAACAGCCTGCTGGAAATCTCTACCTGGGTGGAAGGCAAATTGCAAAGCACTAAGCCTCATCTCCCTTTTCTTCCCCTTTCCACTTCATCCCCCCACCCAAACTCACCCTCTCCCCAACTTCCCTTTGTCTGTTAATGAAACCAGCCTTGACACCCCTGATTCCTTCCTCTCCAATGGCTCAAATATTCCTGCCCTCTCTACCTCTCTCATCCAGCCAGCCAGGCTCCTCAGAGTCCAGTCTTACTCCATGGAGTTCTATCCAGAATCTGCGGCCATTTGGATGAGGAAAACACAGGATTTTGAACCAGGGAGACCTGGCTTTGAATCCATCTGTGCCATTACTAGGTGTTTAACCTTTGACCAATTCCTTAATGTCATCTTTAAAAAGGGGTGTGAATGGATACTTCAAAGACTCATTCAGTGGATATGGATATGTAGCAGGATGATGTGCGTGGCCGGGGGTGGGGGGGAAGAGGCATTATGAAATATAATAGATTGAAACTTGTTTCTTAGTCTACAAGTTCATTGCAAGTGAGAGAGACCTTTCCCCTCTTTCTCCATAGTAATTTTTGCTGGCAGTTTAGGCTGCTTTGCCCCCAAAAGAGAAAGTTCACAGACCATTGTTTTGCACAGTCTAGGTCATAAGTCCAAACCACTCAGGGTGGTTCCAGCCCGTGAACCTGTTTTGTTCTAAACTGTTTTGTTCCATCTGCACAGGGCTGATATGAAGCATTTTTTTTATTTGAATGAATTCCAACATTTACAAATCAAGAGCTATCCAACACCATTAGCCGGTAGGGAAATGCAAACCAAAATCATAATGAGACACCACTTCCCACCCACCAGAATGACTAGAATCAAAAAGACAGACAATAACAAATGTTGGTGAGGACACAGAGACATGGGAACCCTCAGGCATTTCTGAGGGGAGTATTAAATCGTGCAGCCGCTCTGAGAAATCATCTGCCCCTTTCTTAAAAATATTAAATACCGGGAGTGCCTGAGTGGCTCAGTCATTTAAGCGTCAGACTCATGATTTTGGCTTAGATCTTTTTTTTTTTTTAAAGATCTTATTTATTTATTTGATAGGGAGAGAGGGAACACAAGCAGGGGGAGTGGGGGAGGGAGAAGCAAGCTTCCTGTGGAGCAGGGAGCCCGATGCGGGGGCTCGATGCGGGGGCTCGATGCGGGGGCTCGATCCCAGGACCCTGGGATCATGACCTGAGCCGAAGGCAGACGCTTAACGACTGAGCCACCCAGGTGCCCCTCAGCTTAGACCTTGATCTTAGGGTTGTGAGTCCAAGCCCCGAGTTGGGCCCTGCACTGGGCATGGAACCTACTTAGGGGAAAAAAAAAAAAAAGGAACACAACAATGTGGGTGAACCTCAAAATCATTACCCTCAGACACAGAGACCACATTTTGTATGATCCCACTTATATGAAGTATCTGTAAAAAGGCAAACTATGGAGACAGAAAGCAGAAGAGTAGTTGCCCGGGGCGAGGGCCAGGGTGAAGACAGGAAGGACAGCACAGGGATTAGCAGGAAATAGACAGAAGGGATCCTACTGGGCTGATGAAAATGTTCTAGAATTGATTCGCCGTGATGGTTGCCCAACTTGGTAAACTTACTAAAAAAGAAATCACTGAATTTTATACTGTGAATGACATGATTTACAAAATACACCTTATTAAAGTGCTTTTTAAAAAACAGGAAAGAGGGGCGCCTGGGTGACTGGGTCGTTAAGCCTCTGCCTTCGGCTCGGGTCATGATCCCGGGGTCCTGGGATCGAGCCCCGCATCGGGCTCCCTGCTCCGCGGGAGGCCTGCTTCTCCCTCTCCCGCTCCCCCTGCTGGTGTTCCCTCTCTCGCTGTGTCTCTCTCTGTCAAATAAATAAATAAAATCTTAAAAAAATATAAAAAGTAAAAATAGGAAAGAAAGAGCTATCACATGAAAATCCAGATTGCTGGTTTCCCTCGAAAAATCGGAAGATCTGGAAATTCGACGACAGTTTGGGGGTGCCTGAGCTGCCGCCCATTCTTAGACAAAGCACGGGTCCCCAGTGTACCACAGCTGCCACTGACCCCCCGTGGTCTCTCAGAGCCGACCTGCTTTATTCAGTGATGTTCTTTGCCTGGTCTTTTTAGGCCGGGTCTTATTTGAGGTTTTCAGTCCTTGTTATGCCTGCTGAGGAATTTCAAGCCAGATCACCCCAGAGAGATAGAAGGGTGGTATTTTTGAGTTGAAGAGCTTTTTCCCTAGGGCGCTGGCTGGCTCAGTTGGTGGAACACTCGACTCTTGATCTCAGGGTCCTGAGTTCAAGTCCCACATTGGGCGTGGAGCCTACAAAAAAAAAAGAACTTTTTCCCTGACGGTGGTGAAAGGAGTCAGAGGTTTAGAGTGTCCATGAGAAGTACAGAGAGGGGTCCCCTTTCAACATGATTCCTGGGCATGGGAGTATCTTGTGTGCCAGACTATTATAGTGACCACCTCACAGCCCTCCTGGGGCAATAATGCCTGACTGAACTGAAGGATCAGTGCTCACCTGTGGATATCTTCAATCAACAGGAGTAATGGGAAAAACAGAGACTCCAGTGAGCTGAGAAAGAAAAAACCTTCTAGAATTTTCTTGGGCCCCTTAAACTCTAGAGTTCTGGGGGTGGCGGGGCAAACGAGCCTGAAATTTCCTAATGTAAGACTTCTTTCCAACCATGCAGGATAAGGTTAAGTCAGATTTAATGTGATTTAGAAAAATGAAAGCATGAGAATCCCTGCATCCTAATGTCTTAGAGCAAGTCATACCTGTGGCAAATACTTTTTTTTTTTGGCAAACGCTTATCGAGTGTCTTTTGTGTCTAGGGATGGTGCCAGGTGTCAAGGAAATGCCTATGTCAACATAGGCATGATCCCTACCCCTAAGGTGCATAGAGTCTATCAGGAAATATAAGCAAATAGGCAGATAATTATAATTATAGATAACTGTATAATTATAGAGCAACGGTTCTTAGTCTGGAGTCCATGGAAACCTAAGGAATTTTAATTCTATTAAACCTTTGAATCATATGCAAAATGTATTGTGTTTCTTTTTTTCTGGGGAGAAGATCTACAGGTCTTTGCAGATTCTCAAAGAGGCCTTTGATCCAAAAAGGTTGAGGGAATGCAATCTAGTATGGTAGTTACTATACTATGGGAAGCACAGCAAAATCCAGGGACCCCTAAGAGGGACACTTAACTCAGAATGGTGGCAGGGGTGGGATGAAGAAAATTCCAGAAAGTCTCCTTAGAGAAATTTTTTATCTTGAAAATATAATCTGAATAAGATGTTAACTAGACAAAGAGAGGAGGAGAATTCTTTTAGGGAAAACAGCAGGGAACTAAGGGAGAGTTTTAATTTGAAGAGTAACATGATCCATGACTGGGTTTGTGTTTTGGAAGGATCACTCTGGTTACAATGTGGGAGATGGATTGAAACAGGGTACAAGGCCGCTGCAGCAAAGAGTCCAGCTGAGGGATGCTGGTGTCCTGGTCCCAGCAGGCTGGAAAGATGTGGTCAGGTTGTGGTGATTACTGGTGCAAGGGTTAAGTGAGGTATTTTAAATGCCAAGCCAATGCATGAAGATATTACAGTGCCTAGCATGATGCTTGACACATCATAAATAGATTCCCTTCCTCCTTTGTCTCCTGGCCTCCTGAACTAAAAACACTCCCTCACTGAATCCTGTGCACACATTTTTGTAGAAGGATCTATCAAAAACTCCTTACATGTTTTTGCCTCCATCCCTGTACCCTCCTTTAAGACCAGTGCTGTCCCATCGAAATGGAAGGTGAGCCACCGGTGCATACCACATAAGTCAGCTTAAACTTTCTAGGAGCTATATTCCAAAACCAACATGAAATAATTGAAATTATTTTTTTTTAAGTAGGCTCCATGCCCAACATGGGGCTTGAACTCACGACCCTGAAATCAGGAGTCTCACGCTTTACCGACTGAGCCAGCCAGGCACCCCTGGAATTTAATTTTAGTAATGTATTAATCCAATATGGACAGAATATTACATTTCCACATGTAATCAATCAAAAATCATTAAGAGGATGTTAAAGATTCTTTTCCTTGGGCTAAGTGTTCAAACTCCAATGGGTGTTTTAGACCTACAGCACATTTTATTTCAGACCTGCCACACTTTAAATGCTCAAGAATTGGGGCACCTGGGTGGCTCGGTCAGTTAAGCATCTGCCTTTGGCTCAGGTCATGATCTCGGGGTCCTGGGATCAAGCCCTGCATCGGGCTCCACGTTCAGCGGGGAGTCTGCTTCTCCCCCTGCCCCTCCCCCAGCTCATGTTCTCTCTGTCTCTTACTCGAATAAATAAATAAAATCTTAAAAAAAATGCTCAAGTGGGTGCCTGGGTGGCTCAGTTGGTTAAGCGGCTGCCTTCGGCTCAGGTCATGATCCTGGAGTCCCTGGATCGAGTCCCGCATTGGGCTCCCTGCTCGGCGGGGAGTCTGCTTCTCCCTCTGACCCTCTCCCCCCATGTGCTTTCTCTCTCTCTCATTCTCTCTCTCTCAAAAATAAATAAATAAAAAATCTTTAAAAAAAAATGCTCAAGTGTTACATGTGGCTGGTGGTTACCACAGAAGACAGAGCACAGAGCTAGATGGTAAACTCCTTGCAGGCAAGCCCAGTGTGTTCGACTGGTATCCCCAGGAACTAGCTCAGTGCTTGATACAGAGTCAATGCCCAGTAACTGCTTGTTGGGTAGAAAGATGGAAGGATGGATGGATGAGGAGATCCCCTTCCAGCTTCCCAGATGTCATTTCAGCTGAGTCGGCAAAGGTGAGCAGGATCTCAGCAGTTAAGGATGGTGGGCTACCAGAGCCATGATGCAAGGGACCAAAGCCATAGGCAAGGAAAAGTGATACCAGGAAACTGTAGGAAGTTAATAATAGCATTTGACTAAAGTATGTGCAGGGCATACTTCTTACCAGAAAAGGTGGGAAGTGATCTTGGAGTTTGCTGAAAGCTGACACCCAAACCTATACATCTGGGGATCCCCAAGCTTCCAGAGTCATTTCCAATCAGTAAATATTTAAGGAACAAATGAATAGAGCAGTGAGATGGAGATGTAGCAGAAAAGGATCACAGGAGAAAGGAAAATGCTAGCCAAGTGGTTAACTATTGCTGGGGTTCCTGTAGGCAAGAAATAAACCATAGGGAAGCTTATTCGAGAATCTAGGTTGTCATCATCACGATGGAAAGAGGAATGGGTCCTTGGAGGCAAACCGTTGGAGAAGCCGGAAGTCCAGTCAATGGTTCGAAGCAGAAACAAGGCTGTTGGTTTCAGTGTCTGCGGGTCCCTAGTAGGTGGGGCCTGGAGGAAACTTGAAGAGTCATGTGTTGGTGCAGAGGGTCCGAGCTTGAAATCAAGCCTGACTCTTGTCATATGATGCTGCATTATTGCCACTTGGTCCTTGAGGAGCCAGGTTTGCATCCGTCCTGCTCACCAGGTGTAGAGAAAATCAGGAAATTGCTCTGAATTTGATGAAAATGGATATTGTTCTTCAGGCAAAAACAAGTGTGTGGGCATCTCATCAGATTGTTCTGAAAATCCAAATCAGTCTATTTTTGAAAGATATATATATATATATATATTTTTTTTTTTTATCAAAGGCACGTTTTGTTTAAAATATCCTGTCTGGGGGCGCCTGAGTGGTATAGTCAGTTCAGCGTCTGATTCTTGGTTTCAGCTCAGTTCTTGATCTCAGTGTCGTGAGATGGAGCCCAGTGTGGAGCTCCGAGCTCAGCGTGGAGTCTGCTTGGGATTCTCTCTCCCTCTCCCTCTTCCTCCCCCACTCATGCTCACTCTCTCGCTCTCTTTCTCTTGCTAAAATAATAAATAAATAAGTCTTTTTAAAAAATAAAAAAAAAATAAGGATACCTGGGTGGCTCAGTCAGTTAAGCGTCTACCTTCGGCTCGGGTCATGATCCCAGGGTCCTGGGATCGAGTCCCACGTCGGGATCCCTGCTCAGTGGGGAGCCTGCTTCTCCCTCTCCCTCTGCCTGCCTCTCTGCCTACTTGTGCTCTCTCTCTCTCTGTCAAATAAATAAAATCTTCAAAAAAAATAAATAAAATATCCCATCTGATACAGGGCAAATCCTTAATCTCTCTGAGCCTTAATTTACTTGTGTGCAAAACAAGGATAACAACACCCACTTCATAGGGTTGCAGGAGGATAAACACAACATGGTGGCACTTGTGAGGCTCTCAGCACAAATTAGCAGACGGTAGTATTGCTCCTTATTATTACAATCACATTCATCATCGGTTGTCAGCTCCTTTTGGAAGGACTTATACATAGCTTTTCACAGGGAGTTTACAGCATTCTTCCATGGTTCTCTATAGACCTATGTTAAAAAAGATACATAATGGGGTGGCCTGGGTGGCTCAGTCGGTTAAGCGTCTCACTCTTGATTTCAGCTCAGGGCATGATCTCAGGGTCATGAGATTGAGCCCCATGTCGGGTTCCTTGATTAGCAGGGAGTCTGCTTAAGATTCTCTCTCCCTCGAGGGCACCTGGGTGGCTCAGTTGGTTAAGCAACTGCCTTCGGCTCAGGTCATGATGCTGGAGTCCCGGGATTGAGTCCCACATCGGGGTCCCTGCTCGGCAGGGAGTCTGCTTCTCCCTCTGACCCTCTTCCCTCTCGTGCGCTCTATCTCTCATTCTCTCTCTCTCAGATAAATAAATAAAATCTTAAAAAAAAAAAAGATTCTCTCTCCCTCGAGTAAGTCAGAGGGGGAGACGAACCATGAGAGACGATGGACTCTGAAAAACAAACTGAGGGTTCTAGAGAGGAGGGGGGTGGGGGGATGGGTTAGCCTGGTGATAGGTATTAAAGAGGGCACGTTCTGCATGGAGCACTGGGTGTTATGCACAAACAATGAATCATGGAACACTCCATCAAAAACTAATGATGTAATGTATGGTGATTAACATAATAAAAAAATGAAAAAAAAAACATTCTCTCTCCCTCCGCCCTTCCCCCCCTACCCTGCTTGCTCTCTCTCTCAGAAAAAAAAAAAAGAATGAATACATAACCAGCAGAAAAAAACCATCTAAATCTATCAAAGTTCTTACAAAAGGTGAATAAGGAATATAAGATAGACAAACAGGCTAACTGGAAGTAATACACACACACAGAACACAGGCAGCTGCTACATAAAGGCCCACTCTGATAGACCTGCAAACACCTCTACACACTTAAGAGCATTTGCTCTGTATATTTAAGTAAGAGAAATATGCAGGGGTGAAGAGTAACCCCAGTAGTCACAATGCACCTTGATGACACATGGGGCCTTCCACAGCGGGTGGTAGGACACAGTGGGAGAATGTCTGGCCTCAGCAATCAGTTGAGTTGGCTCTACCACCCAAAACTACATGACCTTGACCAAGTGACACGGCCTCTCGAGGCCTCAGTTTTTCATCTGTAAAATGGTGAAGATGATAGCATGGAACCCACAGGATTGTTCGAAGGATTAAAGTAGACAATGTCTGCAAAGTCTTGGCTGAGCATTGACTACCAGAAAGTCTTCTCAATAGAATCTAGCTTTTCGGGGGGGCGGGGTGGCTCAGTCAATTAAGCGTCTGCCTTTGGCTCAGGTCACGATCTCAGGGTCCTGGGTTCGAGCCTTGCATCAGGGAGCCTGCTTCTCCCTCTGCCTGCTGTTCCCTCCTGCTCCTACACTCTCTCTCAAATAAATAAATAAAAAATAATCTTAAAAAAAAAAGAATCTAGCTATTCTTCAGTGCTCAAACTGGGATCTGAACAAGCCTCTGGGCCCAACCATCAATTTACAGAAAATACAGGGGACAGAGCAACATGTTAAACCACACCAGAGGAATGCAGCCAGCAAAACCCAGACTGTGGGAAACACCACAGGACAACCAAGCTGGTTTTCTTCAACAAATAAATTGCAAGGAAAAAAAATACTCAACAACAAAAAAATGAGGCTTTGCTCTAGATTAAAAGAGCTTTAGGGGTGCCTGGGTGGCTCAGTCGTTAAGCATATGCCTTCAGCTCAGGTCATGATCCCAGGGTCCTGGGATCGAGCCCCGCATCGGGCTCCCTGCTCCGCGGGGAGCCTGCTTCTCCCTCTCCCACTCCCCCTGCTTGTGTTCCCTCTCTCGCTGTGTCTCTCTCTGTCAAATAAATAAATAAAATCTTTAAAAAATAAAAGAGCTTTAAAAGGCATATCAACCAATCAAAACATGTAAACCTTTTCTGGATCCTGATTCAAGCAATCAAACAAACTCTAATTAACATATGTATGTATATATATATATATATAAAATATAAAATTTATGAAACAAGTGGAAATTTTAATGTTGACTGAATATAGGATGATTATGAATTATTACGAATTTTTTTGTGTGGTGGTGGTATTATGGTCATGTAAAAATAAAGAGTCCTTTTCTTTTAGAGATGTACATGGAAATATTTACAGATGAAAGAATATGGTGTCCAGGATTTACTCTAAGATGAGACAGGTGGGGAGGCACCCGGCTAGATCTTGGGGATGTAAGTTCGAACCCCACGTTGAGTATAGAGATTACCTAAAAATTTTAAAAAATCTAAAAAAATAAATGAAGTGCAAAGGGATAGAAGAGAGGGTATAGCTGAGTTTGTCCGTGAGTTGCTGAGTGGGGTGCTGGGCAGAGGGGGCTCGTGATTACATGTCTTAGTCCAGTCAGACTGCTATAAAAGAATTCCATATAACTGATGGTTGATAAACAACAGAAATTCATTTCTCACAGTCTGAGGGCTGGAAATCCAAGATCTAGGTGCCAGAAGATTCGGTGTCTGGTGAGGGCTCCTTCCTGGTTTGTAGACACCAGTCTTCTGACTGTGTCCTCACATGGTTGCAAGGGCAAGGGAGCTCTCCGGGGTCTTTCATAAGGGCACCAGTCCCATCCACGAGGGCTCCACCCTCATGACCTGCTCACCTCC